ATGAGATCAGGTAGAGGATCTTGAGTACCAATACAACAATAAGCTTAAAGCTGCATAACTTTTTTCTTTTTCATTACTATCTTGACTTTGTTGTGCATCATGTTGATTTTCTTCTTCTGCGGGTAATATTTAGAATATTTGAACTTTTTTTAGGTCAATTATTTTCAATAATTTCATCAATTTCATTTTTTATCGTATAAAATTCACGAGCAGCTACTCCACAATTTAATTCCATACTTTTCCTACAAAGTTCATTTGTTATCTGACGCATATCATTATATATAGTTTGTATATCAGTTGGTTTTAACATTGATTCATCAATTTTAAATGATAGTTCAGTTTTAGTAATGAATTTTGGAGGTAAATTATATTGAACACTTTTTTGTGCTATATGAAAATTCTCATTCTTAATAGAACATATTTTCATTTTTGGCTTTAAAATTACATGAATATTCATTTGTGATGTAGTAGAAACTTGTTCAAAATCTTCTAATGCTTTGTATCTTTCCATTTGTGCTTTAGCTAATAGAATACGTGTTTCACAGATTTTTTTTAAATGTTGTATACAATCTTTAATATAATCTGCTACTAATTTTTCAAATTGATCAATTTCAAAAGCCATATGTGGCATAGTAGTAGTTGATGTTGAAGATGATGTAGTAGTTTCATTAGTTGTTTGAGCTCTAGTATTTGGATGTTTTGTAGTTTTTTTACGTAATGATATTTGTGTCCAATAATCACTAAATTGTATTTGTAATTTAGAAATTGCTGCACGTGCTTGAAGAATTTGAAATGATAAATGATTAATTTTCTTTTCAACAAAACGAATATTTTCATTATCATCACATTTCTTTGTACGTTGAATAATTTCTTTAGCCCAATGATTATAGTCTTTACCTAATTTTAAATAATTTTTTCATACTTGTATTTCATACTCAGCTCTAATTTGTTCATCATAAATAGGTGCTGAATTAATTATAAAATTTTGAATACCATCACAAGTTCTATTATCTTGTAATAACTCAAGAAAATCTTTAGGTACATTATCATTATTTTTGAAATATGTTAAAACTCGATTATGACTAAGGTAAGAATGACCTTTTGTTTTGTTATTATTCTTTTTCTTATTATTCTTAAATAATAAAGGTTGTTCATTAATTTGATTATTATTATTAATATCTTCTTCTTCTGTATCACTAGCTTCTTGTTCATTGGCAAATACAGCATATCTATTATTATTATTATTTATTTTATTTTGACGATAGCGTTATTGTCGATTTCGACGTTCACGACGTCTATGTGATGATGTACCTATTGTTCGTTGTGGACCTTGTTGTATTATTATTTGATGTAGTTATCACAAATTGTTGTTGTTGTGGTAATGCATTAGCAGGTATATTATTCATAGTTGAAGGAAGATTTTCCTCATTTCGTAATTGTTGTGACCAACAAGCACCCAATGTCAGTGGCCTTGGTCCACGATTACTTGTTGATGGTCTTCGATTACTATGATAATTACCACGATTATAATAAATATTATTGTAACGTTGTCGCCGTTATGGTCGATAAGTATTATTGTAATAATATCTTCGATGGAAACACGACGACCAGAACTATAATAAGAAGAACGAGAATGATAATCTCTATAGTTCCGATGATTTGGATAATTTAATTGATTGCCTCGATAATTGTTAGGTTGATTAGCTCATCGATTGGCTCTATTACTATTAGATTGATTGCCCCCCAAATAACCACCATGACATGTTGGACATTGATGAAATCCTTGTTGTAATGGTGGTGCTGATTGTTGTTGTTGTTGTAATTTATTATTAAGATTATTATAAGTTATTGTCGACATGTGAATCGTTAAAATAAGTTGAGATATGTATGAATCAAATTAGAATAATAATATAATTCGAAAATAATTTGATGCGAGTGGGGGGTGTGGATGTTGATACTTTGATTATCCACACTAACACACACACCCACACCCACACCCACACACCCACCCACAAAGGACCGTTTTCATGGCACGAATGGCAATTTCTATGGCACAAATGACCATTTCCATCCCAGAAATGATCATTTCTATGGCACAAAAGGCCATTTCCGTGGCATAAATGACCATTTCCACGGCACAAATGATCATTTCCGTCGCATAAATGACCATTTCTATGGCACAAATGACCATTTCCATGGCACAAATGGCCATTTCTATGGCATAAATGACTGTTTGTATGGCACAAATGACCATTTTTATGGCACAAATGGTCATTTTGGTGGTACAAATGAGCATTCTCATGATACAAGGTGCCATAATCGTGGTCCAAGTGACGTTGTCAAGGTACAAAATACCATAGTCGGGGTACAAGTGACCATTGTCATGGTAGAAAGTACCATTAGTCGCGTTACACGTTACTGTTGTCATGGTACAAAGTACTTGAGTCGTGGTACAAGTAAGCATATTGATGGCAGAAAATACCAAAGTCATGGTACAAGTGACGATTGTGATGGTGCAAAGTATCATTTTCATGGTACCATTGACTGTTGTCATGGTACAAAGCACCATGGATCGTGGTACAAATGACCATTTTTATGGTGCAAGTGACCGTTGTGATAGTACAAAGTACCATAATCATGGTACAAGTGACTGTTGCTAGAGTGCAAAGTTTCGTGAGTCGTGGTAAGACTGACCATTTATTTTGGCATACTTAACCATTCTTGTGGCTCAACTCAGTTTCTACAGTGGAATCAACCATTTCTATGGCATAGTTGATCATTCTTATCTGCGGAATGAGCGTATCTGTATCACCACTAGCTAGATACGTGTTAGAGATGACTAGTGCTATGGGATAAATAACCATTGCTAGTCCTTAGAATCAACTAATTCACATGCTTTATCATATACATTGGCATCTTGCAATGTTGTATGTTAACTGTTTGAATATATCTATAGTATGTAATATACAACATTTTGCCAAAATTTCATTGATTTGTCCTAAACCCATTATTGAACAGAATTCATTTTTATTAATAAACATAAGGACATCTGGTTAATTTGTTTTCTCGTCTTCTTTTGAAATTCAAAGATTTAGAATAACATAATGATTTTTAATGCATACAGGAAAGCTTTCAACTTCAATCTGTTAGATGTCAATAGACATTTATCGTATCGAACCGTACGTAAACTGTAACTGAGATCGATTGAAGTCAAATTATTTATACAAATTGATCTGAAAATTTCAACTCACGTTTCATCTATGATAGGTCTTGATTGACTATGTTATTTTAATCTTTTCTTAAACTTTATTTAGTCTATATATATATATATTTCAACGGTAACAAATGACAAATTATATCAAAAAGTGATTCAATGTCGAAAAATCTACAACAGATATGCTTAAATCTTATATAAGATTAGTTATTATATGTCTCCTCAAGCAACCATTCGACAGACATTCTCTTTCATCAATTTCAGCTTTCGATAAATTGACAGCTGCTCAACAGACTACTTCTACATACAATTTTTCACCATTCGAATGATTGTCTACAAAGTAATCGAAATGTGACCGAAATGAAAAGGTTTGATTTGATTAATCTTTCATTATCGGATCGTTAGAGCTCATCAAATATGTACATGAAATAGAAGATCGAAGTTACGACTACTTACAGCTGATCACTGTCAAATATCTAAATTAAGCCTGAACTACTTTCCTTCTATGCAAGTCATTTTATTAAGTTTATTAAAATCATAATGCTTTGACAACTCTGTTTGCCAAATTTAATACTCACTATCTAATTTTAATATAGTGTCGAATGAAAATTTCAACTTGTTTTACAGCAAAGGCATATTCTGATGAAACATTAAAGTCATTTCGTACTTATTTCAAAAATGACTCTCGAATCAGGGAATATTTTCTTGGGGACACGTTATAAGTGAATCTTCCTAACATTTACTTTCGATTCTTGTATGGTGTGCCATTCTAATAAATATCGATGATGAACACTTTATATTTATATTTGATGCTTAGATACAGTTCTAGAGAGAGAGAGAGAGAAAAATTTCTTATGATTTTTTTAGTTTTCTAGATCTGTATAACTACGATAACTTTATTAAGTTGCATTATCATGGCTGCTCGAAATCAGTGGTCTACAAATGTTAATAATACAGGTAACAGATTAATGTCACATCTAGCAATAGTGGTTTCATGCTAGTATCATTAAAAATTTAATTTTGTTATTTGATAGAATGTGATACTGATGAAGATATGAAACCAATATTGATGGATCCTGGTCGTCATGATGTTGATGATCGTTTTATAGACAGATTAACACATTACGTGCTCGATTTAGATAAAGGTGAATTGAAGGAACGTCGTGCTCTCGATGATGAAATTGCATTTTTGCGTGATCTCTGCCGATGGCAGAGTGATGAAATTGAATATTTAAAGCAACGAGAATTGTCACATTATTCGTAACAATGGTTTATTACAAGATGCTCAAGGTCACTGGTATGAATTACTTTCACCAACACAAGTCTCGACTGGACAACAACAACAACCACAGGAACACGGTGAAGAGAAAAAGAAGAAAAAATGCCGTGGGAATAGAAGGGCACAACGTCTACGTCGAAGACTTCGTCAACAAGGTATAGATTCAGATACAATTACAGAATTAGTTAATCAAAGAATAAATCCTCAACAACAAGAACAACATGATGAAGCAATACAAAATGATCAAGTATGGTACATTTTTCTTATTAAAAATACTAGATTAATATTTATCTATTCATTTAGATTCCACAATCGACACAACATAAAGATAAATATGATAATAGTACAGTAAAAAAATCAATAAAACGTAAAAGAAATGAAACATCAGCGAATATAATTGATAAATCTTTAAGTCAATTATCTATTTCTCAACCATCACCAAAAAAACAAAAGATGGTAAATAATGAAATTGAACAAGTAATAACAAATGGAACATCAGAAACGAAACATTCAAAATCTAAAAAACAAATTAATCATACTAATGGCGATTCTTATATACCTGATTATTTAAAAGTATCAAATCGTGTATTTAAACGAATGTTAATTAGTTCATTAGAAGATGCTAAGGAAATTGTTAAAGGATTAAATTCAAAAGATAAAATTAATTATATTCGTCAATATGCTTATTTAATACATCGTTTATTTTATGTACAATTACAAGAAACTCAATGGAAATATTATTATGATATTGGTATACAAGAAAATATTTGGTCTGGACGCGTTTCAAAAAAATGGGCTGCTATGAATAGTATGAATTATACATATGGTCGATCAAAAACATTAATTATACAACGTCTAAAAACGATTCAACGACAACTTCAACAAGCATCACAAGCATTACAACAATTTGGCAATCAACCATTGCCTCAATGTCTATCTGAAATGAATCCTCCGTTAGATTTTGAAAAAATATCAGTAATGGTTACAGCTGTTGTTCGAAAAGGTCAACATAAATTAAAACAACAATTTGAACACAATAAAAAAATGTTAAAATTAGACTCAACAGATCACCTTTTTGTAAAAAATGTTTATGATTTAAAACCAAATAAACAACAAATTCGCTCAATTCGTAATATATGGAAAGCAATTCAAAATAAAAAACAAATGGAAGAACAAATTGAAATATTAAAACATCGTATCAATTCCAATTGTTTACCACCAGCTTTTAATCTTCTTGATTATACTGTTGATAAAATTGATAAAATACTTAGCCGATCAAAACAATCTGCTACTAATGATAATGATAACCAGCAACAAACAATATTAGCTGCTCGTCGTTTAAAAAAAATTGGTCGGTTTAAATATGATATGCTTGAATTAAGAATAGCAGCTGGTGAAGACAAAGTACGATATTATGATAAAATAGCTAAAAAAGAAAAAAAGAAATTATTAATAATTACCAATAAATTAAAGAAAAATAATTCTGATTCAGATATATTTAAACAATTAATGGCAGCTATTGAAGCACGTGAAAAACATATGATCGAACATGCTAATTATATTATACAACAAAAATTGAAGTCTTTTTTCGACGAAGCTCCGGCGTCACAAGACAGTTTAATGAACCAAGATGGCGTCGGAGCAATTCAAAATTAAATGTTCTTAATAATACAAGTATGCTTCTTTCATTATTTTTTGCCAATACAATTATACCATTATCCAATGAACAATTACTTATTATTAATAAAGGTTTAAAATTTATTCCACCATGTCAAAGTCATTTCTATTATCCTCAGCCTATGGATGAAATTATTGAACAAGAATACAAGCGACTCTATACTGAAAATTGTAAAAATCTTACTAATTATACGTTTTCCACAAAAGATACACATGCAACTGAATTTTTTTCTGAAGTTAAACATTTCCTTGAAGAACTATATACTAAGCCACTACCGAAAAAACTCAAAGTCAAGGCTCGATATATTTATAAAATGATTAAATCAATGCAACAAAAATTACGCAAAGCTAATATTGCTGTTGGACAAACGGATAAAAGTAAATTATTTTTCTTTATTGATGCACAAGAATATGAAGAAAAAATTAGAAATTATATGTCCAAAACAAATGCTTATCAAGAAATTACAAGTGGTATTTGTCCATTAGCTGATGATTTACATTCTGTATTAACATTACTCGATTACTTACTAAAACATAATAGAATTACGAAAGAACAGCATAAACAAATGTATCCAAATTTAAAAACATTAGAATTAGCTCATATTTATTTTAATCTTAAAGTACATAAGGTACAACGATTACTTTCTTACCTAGATAATTATTTTATCATATGTTTCTTTATAGCCTGAAATGTCAGTTCGACCTATTCTTGCTTCAATCAATGCACCAGCTAGAAACATATCAAGTTTTCTTGATCAACTTCTTACTCCAATTTATAACTATGTAACAAAAGATATTACATTTATTAATAGTATCGACTTGATTCG